TCCTTCTTCCTAGTCTGTCTTAATCTACTCCTCTTAACTGTTAGCCAATTTTTTTTGATACAGTAACTCTGTATATTTCTTCCATATTCTTTTAATGCTTCCTGGATCATTTACTCTTCTGCCAATAGCATTCTTAAGTCTTACAACTCAAGTCTTGAATTTTTATGCTACATATAGTTTTCTGTATTTTTATAACTTCTGAAAGTCTCCATAACCTTTCAGTCTACATGCAGAACAGATAATCTCGGGGGCAGGTTTTTATGAGGAGGAAAGTGGCAACAGAATTGGAGGAAGACTCATTGACAACCGATATTATGTAGAAGATACAACCTTGCTTGCTGAAACTGAAGAGGACCTGAATTGCTTGCTGCAGAAGGTCAAGGACAGTAATCTTCAATATGGATTGAAGCTCATTATCAAGAAGACAAAGATTCTCACCAATGGGCCAATTGACAGCGCCCTCATGGATTGAGAAGAGATTGAGGTCATTAACAGTTATAGCTTGTTTGGCTCCACAATCAACATTTTGGGCACCAGCAGTCAGGAAATCAAAGGTGAATTTCATTAAGTAAATATGCTGTGAGGGACCTTTCCAGAGTACTAGGAATCAACAGTGGTAGTCTAGAGACTAAGGTGTGCCTGATCTAGGCCATAGTCTTTGCATTTACTTACTATGCATAAGAGATCTAGACAACGACTAAGGATGACAGAAGAAGAATCACTGCCTTTGAGTTGTGGTGCTGCCAAGAAAACAAATAGGTAAGTCTTAAAGAGGGTGAAACCAAGTTTTTCCTTGAAGGCTAGAATTCTGAAGCTCCATCTCACATCCTTTGGTCATGTCCAAAAGGAACTGATCTTTGGAGAATATTATGCTTGGAAGTGTGGAGAGGACAGGACAAAAGAGGAAGACCCCAGTGTAACTAGGGATATGGGAGTAGGTGTGTTGGAGTCAGTAAGACTGGCTCAGGACAGGGCAGGCTTCAGAGCTTTTGTACATAGGGTTGCTATGAGTTACAGGGAATCTGACAACACATGACAGGCACATAACAACAACAACTATAATAGGCATTTATTACTTTGTGCTGTAGTTGTTATGTGCTGTCAAGTTTAATACCACCCATTGTTGTTGTTGTTACATGGCACCTAGTTGATTGTGACCCATAGCAGCCCAATGAACCTTGCCTTATCCTGTGCTAACCTCACCTGATCCCTTTGACACAGTTACTATGTCAATCCATTTTATCCAGGGTCTTTCCCTTCTGCTTTGACCATCTACACTTTCAAGCATGATGTCCTTATCTAAAACCTGGTCCCTCCTGATCACATTCCCAAGAAGAAATTTAGTTTTATCTTCACCAGGACCCTCTCTCTATTTTTCTCTTAGCAGTCCATACTATGTGCAATACTCTTCTCCAGCATCACGACTTAAAGGCATCAATTCTTCTATTACCCCTATTCATTGCCCAGCCTGGATTTACTTGTTTGCACTCTGGAGAGATTCCTGAGGGCAGATTTTCTTAATGCAAAGCATCTTTTTATTTTCTGACTGCTGGTGCTGAGAGTTTTTATTGTGGATCCAAGCTAGATGAAATTATTAACAACCTCAATCCTTTCTCTACTACAATACTACATTGACCTAGCAGTGAAGATCTTTGTTTTCCTGACGTTGAGATGCAATCTGTATTGAAGGCTCCAATCTTTTACCTTCTGCTGCAGATGCTTCAGTCCTTCTCAGTTTCAGCAAGCAAGGTTGTGTCATCTGCATAATGCAGGTTGTTGATGAGTTTTCCTCAAATACTGATTTTACATTCTTCTTCATAAAGTCTAGCCTCTGGAATGATTTGTTTTACATATAGATTGAAAGGTACAGAGAAATAATACACTATCCTATCTTGGCTTTGAAACATGAAGGGTTCCCTGGCTCTCTTAGGACAGAAGCTTCCTGATCTTGGTCTAGGTTTCACATGGACACAATCAGGTGTTCTGGGATTCCTATTCTTCTCAATGTTAGCCACACATTTGTTGTGATCCACATAGCCACATGCCTTTGCATAGTCTATAAAGCACAAAAGACCTGATACTTTCTTTTTTCAGCCATCAGCCATGTTAAATCATCAGTATTATCTCTAGTAGCATGGCCTCTTCTAAACCCAGGTTTAATTTCTGGCAGTTCTCTGTCGATGGTACAGGACTAGTATTATTGAACAAATTCTGCATTCTGTTGGATCACCATTTTAAGCAGCGGTAATAAATATGGATCTCATGCAGTCAATTAGCCAGGTCGCTGTCCTCCAGATTTTTTTGGCTCAACCTAGTGAACACATCCCATAGCAACCCTATAGACAACAGATCTGAATCTTGTCCTTTTTGTGCTATCCTCACCATTTCTGACATACTTGAACTCACTGCCAAAGTCACTGTGTGAATTCATCCTGTTGAAGGTCTTCCTCTCTTTTACTCATCCTCTTCCTTTCCAAGCATGATTATTCTTTCCAAGGAATAACCTCTCCTTGCAACATGCTAAGTTTGTGAGATGAACCATTGTCATCTTTTACTCCAAGGAGCACTCTTGCTACATTTTCTCTAAGACACAGTTTTTTTGTTCTTTTTGCAATCCAGGGAATATTCAGTTATCTTCTCCAAAACCTCAGCCCAAATTAGTTTTTGCCACTCTTATTCATTGTCCAGCTGTCAGTTGCATATAGCAAGTGATTGCAAAGACAATGGCTTGAATCGAGTACACCTTAGACTTCAAACTGACTTCATTTCTCCTCCATAATTTGGAGAGGTATTTGACTGCAAACTTTCCCAGTGCAATGTATCCTCCTGTCTGCAAGTACTAAGGGAGGTGATTGTGGATCCAAGTAAGATGAAGTCTTTGACAGTTTCAATCTTTCCTCCATCTATCATGATGTTACCTATTGGTCCAGTGATGAGAATATTTGTTTTCTTGACATTGAGATGCAATCCCTATTGAAGGCTATATTCTTTGATCTTCTGCAGCATGTGTTCCAAGTCCTCCTCACTTTTAACAAGCAAAGTTGTATTATCTGCATAATATAGGTTATTGATGACTCCATCTTTGATACTGATGCCACATTCTTGCTTATAGAGTCCCACTTCTCAAATAATTTGCTAAGCATACAGATTGAGGGGATACAACATGACACATACATTTCTTAATTAAACCATGTAGTATTTTCTTATCCTGTTCACAGAAGAGCCTCTTAATCTAGGTATGGATTTTACTGAGTAAATAATTATTGCTTTAGAATTAGCAAAGTTTACCACTCCCATCCTCCAAATTTATAACATCCTAAGGTGTTAATATGCATAAAGTTGACACTTATGAAAAATTATTTATGCCCTGTCTTTTCAATATCATAATCTCTAGGAAGAAAAGATCGGGTTCTCTTTTTTTCCATCTAATAATTTTTTAAAAGAGTGAAAAGCTAGTTTGAAATCTTTCTGCTGTTACACCATTTTTAATTCATGATTCTTGTTTTACTTGTAACTTTGACATTCTCAAAAATATTGGACCCTAATCTCATCTGCCATAGGCCAAATTAATAACCACTATCAGAAATATGTGTGTTCTTTTAGAACAGTCACAAAATAAACTGTAAAGGACCTAAGACAGTACCTTCTTAATTTGCAAATGGAAATATGGTACTTAGAAATATTCTATGTACTGCCTGGGGTCAAAACATGAGTTAGTGGTATAATGGAGCTCTGAGCTAGACTCCCTGAATTTTAGTCTACATTGCTTCAAAATCAAGGTAAAACGCTTTTTGGCTTTAAAGGAGTGTAGCCAAATGAGAAAACTTCAGAGCTAAGCAGTGACTTCCTTTCCATCCCTTGACTTAAATAAAATGAGTCATAGATTCATGTTTATCTATGTTAGAAGTTTGCAAACTTGTATCTTACACTTTTTAGGTACTCTTTCTTAATCACCAGGCTTCAACTTGGTTTTGGATTTATGTATTACAAATTCAATCAGTATTTCCAAATTAGAAGTTAAGATAGACTTTTATGTTATTTTCTTACTAATTTACTTTTAAAAAGCAGCATATTTATTATACATTTATATAATTATTTTCTTTTGACTAAACAGATGTCAGCTGGAGTCTCTTAGCAGGTTCTAAATTCAATCTGTTGAAATATGTTGTTTTGGTTGTATTCTCTGTGGTAAAAGAGGTCAGCTCCGACTTGATGGCAACAAGAGTGAGATCTCACATTTTGAATAGCTTTTTACCCATGCGTGATTTTGAAAAAGTACATCAGTTGGGAAATACTGTTTTGAGTATTTTCTAATTGTTTACATATTTTTTTAAAACATCACTTTTGTTAATGTTAACATGGATCTTCATGTAATATAAATCTGGTTTTGATGTCACACTCTAGTTTTGCAGTTAACAGTGAGGAGCTCAGTGGATATACATGACAGTTCCATGTGTCTTCACAAGGGTCTTTAAAACTTTCTGTGAGACGGAGTGTTAGGAAGTGTAAAAGTTAAAAAAAGTATTAGGAATGTACCATTGCAGCACTAACAGAAGAAAAATGTATGCTAAAAAAATAGGAGCCATTAATTTAATTTTCTAGTAAACATTTAACTCAATATAAGAAAATATATCATCTCTACAGATAATCAGAATGAAAATGTTAGATATTTTAGATTATTCTCCTTACATTTTCAAATCACAAATGTATTTTATATTTATGACTCATCTCAATTTGAACTCTCTACATTTCAAGATTCATTAGCCACATGTTTATTGAACAGCATGGTTTTATATCTTGAGATTGGTGCTGGGTATCTGGGATTTGTTGTTGTTGCTTAACCTGTAAATATTGCATTCTACTGCTTGCATATCGATGCTATCTTGAGGGAGGTAAAAAGGAAATATCTTAACGTTTAGGGCACACTAAAGAAATGATTTTTTTTCTATAGTAACAAACAAAAAAAATGAGTTCTTTTTTTCTTCCCCTCATTAATTCAGAAACAAAAACTGAAGGGATTTCTGAAGCTCAGACTAACAATCAGAGGAATCATATTCATGCATCACCTAAACAGCAAGGAAAACAAGTAGAAGCTGGAACAGAAGGTCGAGTGATGGGAGAAGGTAGGTTTGTGTAACGGACTGATTCCTGCAGGAGACGCCTGTGGTGGGTGAGCTATAGCCTCCCTTTACCATGGGCTGTCAGTTTCTGAAGCAATCTAGTTTAAAATCTCATCTTGATTTCTTGTCACTTCTTCTCAAGGAAATTATACCCCAGCACAGAAATATGCAAGCCTAGCTGATTTGCTCTGTTATTACCAATTAGTCAAGGTGATGTTGTAATTTTTCCTCAGTAGAAGATTATTGGTTTAACATGTGATTTTGTTGCAGAAAGAAGGGGAAAATAAAATATAGGCATATAATCTTTCCTTTAGCTGTTGCAATCCTGCCAATTTGGCAACATTATTATATGTGGAAAAGAACAGGGTATACTTTGCCAAATACCAATTCTGAAAATGTCATTGAATATAAAACCCTCGAGAAAATGGGTAGGCATTTTAAGCTCTGTTTTGTTATTCAGGTGTATTTCTTTAAGCCAAATGTATTCTTTGACTAATTTGTGCACTGTACCAGGTGATCTTATTTGGCCTGCTCTTAAACTGCCTTAGCGACAAGGACCAGTGCCAGTCACAGGAAAGATAAGCATTTGCCTCAAACCAGTGCTTTTTCCGTGTCTTACCGACGATACAGAAAACAAGAGGCTGATGGGTCTGAATATTGAATGACTTTTCTAAGTATGAAATGACAGATGAAGAATATCCACATAATTTTCATGGATTCAAACATTGTGAAACATATGCTGTCATGACAAGAGTACTCCTTTCCCCCTCATCTAAGTAAAAATGAAAGTTCATAGTGTTTTTCTGCTTGAAAAAGAACACCCAAATTTATTGGTTCAGAGCATGTGATTATTACTAATCATTAGGGCTCTAGATACTTGGCTAAGCGTGTGTGTGTGTGTGTGTGTGTGTGTGTGTGTGTGTGAGAGAGAGAGAGAGAGAGAGAGAGATGGAGGGAAGGTGGGAGAGAGAGAAAGGGAGAGGGAGAGGGAGATGGGGCGAGAGAGAGAAAGAGAGATTGATTGATTGTGTTTTCCATGGAGGAAATGAAATTCATATATGTTTTAATGGAAGATATTTTTTCTCAACAAATTAGCCAGTCACACTGGTTCTTGCACTTATGTTAGATGGTAGCAATTTGTGTGTAAAGAAAGGAAACAGAGAGAAGTGGTGGTAGCAATTTGTGTGTAAAGAAAGGAAACAGAGAAGTAGCCTGGGACAGATGCTAGATTCCATCTAAAGTTATTTTCATTTGGTTTTCTACAAGTCTCCTGTCTGTTCCACTGCATATAAATTCAGGACAAGTGTTTGAAAACTCTTGCCTAAACCTAGCCCTGTGAAGAGCAGCATATGTAGCTGCATTCTTTGGCAGAAGGTTGGAGTGATGCTAATCTCTCCACTAATCTAATATGGCCATCTACATGAATCTCTGTTGCCCACTTAAATTAACTACATTAAACAGTCCACAAAGCTCGGGTGTTTTATTAAGGACCATTTTTTATGTGGTAGCTTATTAATAAATTATCAGGAATGAGACAAAGGGGACAAGGCTTTGGTGGAAGAACCTCAGCTTAAGAGATGGCAGCATTAAAGAGAGCATTTTATTAGGATATCCAAGTTAAAAATAGAGAAATGTGTTATCAGAAACTTCCCCTGAGAATCGTATATTTGTTTCCTTATTGTCTAAGCTTTGTCCAAATCTTGAGAGCTTCGTTTCCAAGGCTAGTAATAAGGCATTTCATACTTTTCTTCAGAACTTATTACCAGCTACAAAGCAACTAATTATTGCTAGCTTTAAATAAATTTGATGTTATTCCTCATTTCCACAAGACTTTTCTCTTTCCCCTCTGTGTTTTTAAACTTTCAACATTGGCTGATAAAGTGATTGGCTCTTTCTTTCAGGAGAGTTTTGCTTTCACTAAGCACTGCCATAGCACTAAGCTTACTTAGCCCATGAAACTGAGAATGACCACTGTCCAGTAGATTCCAACTGCAAACTCACCTTATACAGTGTTTCTGCCTCTTTTCCTCTCTGTATTACATGATACAGCAGAAGGCATGAGCTGTAGAGAGAAGGAAAGGCAGATCGATGGTCCACATACTTTTTCTTACCAGGATTATTGACATATAGATCCATCTGAGTCATTCTCCCTGGTTATGTCACTGCTAAGATTTAATGAATTTTCATTGTCAGTTGGAGAGAGGTAAGTGAGTGGTGGTTGAAAACATGGAAGTCAGGAGTAAGACTTGTTTGTGACTTCAATGAAGTCAACTAACTCCTGGGTGTCCCTTAGTTTCTTTATCAGTAAAATTTCCATAATAATATAATTATAACATTATATTAATAATAATATTATATATATAATAATATCACCTACAATGGAAGGAGTTGTTCCAAATTAAAAAGTTAATTTAAGTGAAGAGCACAAAACTATTCCAGTAGTTTTTTCATTATTTTAGGCTCAAGTCCTCATTGTCTGGTTCTGTCTTGTATTTATCATCTTGGATTTCATCCAGCGAACCCTTTTTACAGTTAGCATATTAGCTCACTCCTTCTTGGATGGACCTGGTAAGAAGCTGTGTGACTAAACCAAAGCCATGTGGTTCAAATTCACTAGCAGCTCTGTGGGAGAAAGATGAGTTGACTTCTCCCATGGGTTTTAATGCCTTGAAAATCCACTGAAGGGTCTGCTATGAGTCTGTTCCAACTTGACATCTTGTAACAACAACAACAACATCCTCCTTGGACTTACCTGTTGTCCTTTCTGCTGATTGACTTCACAGTGTCTTCTAACTGGATTTCTTGTTTTCACATGTTGAAATCTCTTCAGACTTTTAAGCATCAGCTGAAATGCTCCTTTCCTTCAAATTCTGCTGACTCCAATAAGAATGAGGATCTCACTCATTGAGTTACAAGAATACTCAATGCATGCCTATGCGTGGCTGTGACCATAAGGCCAACATGTAGTCTTTGGAGTTCTTTACTGTATTTTTCACATATAACATGGCCACATAAGTAGCATACACACACATAGGAAACTAACACAAGAGGTAGCTGTGCTATTTTGCCTCAAGGTTGGGTGACCTACTTATTCTAGTTTGCCTGGAACTCTCCTGCTTTTAAAGTGGAAAGTCCTGTGTCCCAGGAATTTTATCCCAGGCTCACTGGGAAACTTGGCCACTGATCTCAGAAGATGTTTGGCAATATCTGTGGACTATTTTGGTTGTCATAGTTTTGGACACAATTTGCTACTGGCATCAGACACTACCTTACAATGTACAGGATAGTCCCCAGCACCAAAGATTACCCAGGCCAGGCTGAGAAACCCTTGTCTTTGTAATATAAAGGTGAATCTCCTAGAATGACTTCAGAAATATAATTAGATCTTACCTACCTATAAATATTAGTAAGCATTTTTCCTGAAATTAATAACATTTTAAGCCTTTCTAGGGTAGTTATCCAGAGGTAAGATAGCTGTTTCCTGGGCCCTTACTAGCTTGTAGTATGATTAAGACATAAGCATAATGCATTTGGAGAAGAGAATTTACTGAGATACCTCCACTCATGTAAAATGACAGATTCATTGAAATTAAAACCATTTATGATATAATGTGAAAATAGAAATGTAACTCTGTTGGCATAGTCCAAGGGTTATTGTGATGGAAGTTTACTTTGATTTGGAACAAAAATCACTATTTTTATTAATATTTTAAAAAAATATTATTGTTTTGTATACAGTAATTTGTTAATATTGTGTTTCATTCATGTACAATGCTTTGGGTTTTTTTTGTTCACCTCCTTTCTCTACTCATCAAACTCTGTGACCCTCTGATTTCTCCCCTTCCCCCTCTTCCTAGCCTCCCTGTCCCTTCTCTTCTCTTCTTTGGACATACATACACCTCTTATGAGTTATCCTTCTGTTTTCACTATAATGGTTTTATACATTATTTGTTCTTACGCACCTGAATTAGTTTACTCAATATAATGCTCTCTAACCTCTTCCATGTTATATAGTATTTTCAAAATAAATTTTTTACTTTATTTTGTCTAATCTCCAAGTCCTTCCACACATATATTACTTATTAAAAAACTTTGTGATTAACATTTGGTTGGGACCTGGGAGCCTTTTATGTAAAGCAATTGGGATCTAGATTGCAGGGCTTTTTATTTGATTAACAGTCAGTTGTGGGTCGGGAGCCTCTTATTTAAACCAATTAGGACCTGGCAGGTGGGCCTTTGTGATAAACGGTTGGGCTTTGGGACCTGTCCCCCTTGGGCCTCATGTGAAGTTTTTTGCTATTAGGAGTACAAACTAAATAGTTAGTTTGTTGCATTTGGGGAATACAATATTTTAATAGGTACAGCACTTGTCTATAAGTTTGCTGTACTGAAGTAACTTGTGAGTTGCTATGATGCTGAAAGCTATGCCACTGATCTGTGAAATGACATAAAGGTTTCCCATGGTGGACAGATTTTTATAGAGCTCCAAGATTAGACAGAATAAGAAGCACAATTGATCATCCAGTTCTAAAATAACAGGCCTCAGAAAACTTTATGAACAGTAGAGGATATAAATATAGTATTATAAGTAAAGCCCAGATTGGAAGTCAATAAAAATGAGGAAAAATGGTGGCAACCATTCCTTAATAATGGAATGTAACAAAGCTTGGATATTGGAAAACTAGAAATTGTGAAAAATAAGATTAACACATTAACATTGACATTCTAAACCTGAGATCACGTGGTAATACTAGGCTATGAATGAAATACTAGGCTAGGAATGAAAAACAGACAACACAAAAACAAAAACAGAAAAAGAGTGGTGTTGCATTCATAGTAAAAAAGTCAATTTCAAGTATTATCCTGAAATACAATGTTGTGAGTGATAGGATATTATCCATATACACAAAAGGAAAATCTGTTCAAATCTATTCTCCTACATCTAGAGCCATACAAAGGAAAAAAGTGAAAATTTTTACCAAATCTTACAGTGAAAAATTGAT